TTAACCGATTAGTCGAATAGTCGGATAATTTTACGAGCCCTAGTATGTATGTGTGATTTTGTGCGTTTCATCAGAGCAATGAATCGCGGTTTTAAGGTTAAGAGGAGAAACGTAAAGAAACCTCAAATTGGTTGGTTGGTTGAACTGGGAGAATTTCAACATTACATATATATGTATACGTATGTATGTATGTCTTTCCATTAACTGGTAGCCATTAACTGGTAAGATAAGAAATCCTAATGGCTAGTGGGACCCAGAGCGGCCCCGTTAATGGCTAGCTCTTCGGCCATTTCATTGCCATGAATGCTGCAATGAATCTTTGCTTTAATACTGGAGGTGATACTTACTAACTAAGGAGGCTAACCGTGAAGTTAGCAATGCTAGTTCCTGCTAGCTTCGAGGTTAAATTTAGTTTGCACGCATTTTCGGTAGCAAACACCCGTGTATTGGGTAGTCGAATATATTTTCGAGTTGAATGTCATTTGAAAATTCCCCGCCAATACGCTACAATCCAGTTTTAAGCGTATTGTAAAAATATCATACATATTTCCACTCCTTTTTGAACGGAAAGATTATGCAGAAGTTTTTCTTGAACAGAAGCGAAGGACAGATATAGTCAGATTTTTCGCGAATGCTTGGTATAGTTATTGAAAAAGTACAGGATACGTCCATGAACGTATGTATGTATGTAAGTTCTTTCCACAGACTCGGTTTCCTCAAACTCTGTGTATTTGTATAAACGCTTTCTCTAATTCAACGCTTCCGTGGAACATGATCTGATCGCCTACGTGAACGAAATGCAGGCTGGCCGCCTTGCACATCCAATGCATAAGATCAGTGTGTAGACCCCAGTTCTTACTTAGCATTTTCTTGAAAGAATACAGGGCAGCATAAAATTTATTTTCAAAAATAAAGTGAGTAGAAAATCTACTAAAACACCAATTTTTCGCACTACAGCGACATCTGTATGCGGTCAAATCTAAAAATAAATACATTATTCCGTGACCCCAAAAACTTTTAGTTACACCTGTCCAACGATTTTAAAAACAATAAATTTTTTTTACCTACAAATGCCGGTTTCTGGACAAACCGAACAGCAAACTCAGGGTGACCCGAAAATTCTGACTTCAGATTAGGATTCAGCGGACACAAAAGCTTTAGGAACCGTTGAGAGATCCCGGGGAATTTTTTGCTTGTTGTAGAGTGTATCGTCTCCGCAGACCTTAAGTGAGTTGGTGTTAAGTTGACTTCAAAATAGTCCCTTGATAATCACTTGATTTAGATTTGTGCTCAGAAACCATTGAAATTCTAGAGCATTAGCCTACTTTGTTTCCGAAAATTCCTCATGTTACTTGCTATATAGAAATGAACAAGTAATTTTAAGCAAACAACAAAATCGACTTCAATTCTCATATAAAAATTTAAGATTATCATTAATCTCTTCATAATCCAATGATTGGATTTAAACCAAATTAGAATGGGACAGCCTGTGAGGTAACACCTTTCCGTTAAAAAAATAATTATAGTAATCGGTTAACGTGGCCCAAAGTTATGATGTAACATACAAAAAAAAAAAAAAAAATACTCCAACGAATTTAAAACCATCCTCCTTTTTGTAGAGTCGGTTAAAAACAAGTAATTTCTTAACAAAAAAACACGAACGACTTCAATTTTCATATAAAAATTTAGGAGTACCGTTAATTTTGTTCATGTTCCAATGATCGGATCTAAAGAAAATTATTATGCGACCACCCTTGAGATACTACCCCTTTCGATAAAAAAAATAATGATCGAACGTGGCCCAAAGTTATGCGATAACTTATAAAAAAATCCGACGATTTAATAACTTCCTTCTTTTTATGATATCCGCTAGTTACAACTGTTCAATATTTTCTTCTTCATTTGTAAAAGAACAAATATTTTCCAAGGCGAATTCATATAAGGTGATAGCGGCAGCATAAAAACAAAAAATTACACCAACAAATTATACGCACAATGACAATTAGAACACAACAATTTCACAACAAATGCAACATTTTGACAATTTGTCAACTCGCCTTGAAATCAGTTGCTCTGTTAACACCACCATATGAATTTTCCTTGCACATTTTCCCTTTTCACTTTGAATTTATTTTTTTAACTCACCTTCATTTTGTTTTTTTTATAAATTTCAATTCAAATCGTTGCTTTAATCCAAATAGTAGTAATTAATTTGTTTAATAAAAATAATCCAGCCTTCCCGCTAATCTTTAACAAACTCACACACGCACACTTTATTCCAAGAGAATGTACAGAAAGATTAAAATCGAAATGAGGTAAACAATAACGTCTAATATCTTCATGACCGCTTGCTGGCCTGTAAACTACACAGTATCCTTCGCTTTTGCAAAACAAGAAATAAATAAATTTTATGTGAAAAAAAAAAAATAAATTATAATTCACAACTAATCACACACGACAGATTGGGCTAGGCGCAAAAACTAGACGTACGAGCGCTTCGAGCGTCAAGCGAATCAGTCAAGCGCGTTGGAAATTGCAAAGTCGACTGAAAGAAATTTCTATGCGCAAATCAAACAAAAGCTCCTATCGCGTTGAATGCGGTGCTGCTGTCGAGGCTGCATTTTGTTGTCGTTGTTGTCGCCGCCACTGCTGCACTTGGCGCTGCCTCTTCATCGGCAGCACGGTGAGTTTAGTGGTTTTCTTGCTACAAATAAGCGGCATGCAAAAACCCAAACTAAACCGGTGCTGTACATACATACATACATACATACACACATTGGCAAATCAACGATTTTCAATAAATTTTCTACATTGTTTGTTGTTGTTTTTCAGCTTTTCTATTATTATTATTTTTTTTTTCAGTTTCTTGCTTTCCAACCAATTTTGGCATTGCCGATGAAAGTGCTGTGCGCATGCCGAAGTACGCTTCTCAGTTTCTATATGTTCATACATATG